CCAATGAACCAGATAAGACACACTAACGCCGGTCTGGGGGCACCCCGCGCGGGAAAGGAGCTACCGCGTCTCGCACTCCACCCGGCCGCCTCTCCGCGCGCCGGCACCTGCACCCTCCGCTCTCGTTTGCCTCTCCGTCCGCGTGTAGTAAAGCCACGAACTTAAAAATAAAATAATTTTTTTTTCAGAGACAGGCACGAAATGGGGGGACACGACGATCCGAGCGCCGACGCACGGAAACACGACCTCGCCCAGGGCGTCCCATGGCACGGAGACCCGTTCACGCAGCCGGAGAGGCGGCGGCGGGGGGTGTGCGGGAGGGAGCGACACCTGAGAAAGAAGGGTGATGAGCAGCTTCACATTATATTGGAAAACTCTTCCAACCCTTAACTCTTGTTTGGGGACCTGGCCTAATCGAAGTGCCGATTGTAGGCAGAAACAGAAACTTGAATCTCTTGCTGCAAAGCCGGTTAAAAGAGGCCCACGGGAGTAGGAGACACGGGCAGTGAAGCTCGTGATGCGACTACTCTACAGGGCTTTTCAGAGGCGTCCTTATGAGTTCTTCTGTTCGTTTTTTAAAGTGCAAATTTAGCTAAACAACTTTCCGAACAGCACACAACCCAGGTAATATGGTTACCCCCCTCATGTAAAAATTCTTGGTGATGCATCACCTAAAAGAGAATTCGTAAGATTTCTGATTGTGTAACATAAACAGCGAACATAACCAGGCTCAGGAACGCTTAAGTCCCCTTGTGTAAATGCCCGATTCCATCGATCAGAAATAGTTTGTAGAGTAAACCTCAATCACAGGGCCGCGCTCAGTGCCCTTTCCTGAACAGTATCTCAACTTTCCTCCAGCCCCGAAGAAGATAAACGGCAGCGTCGGTATTTTGCTCTTTCCAAGGAATAGACTGTCCTTTTCAGCCGACGGACGTCCTCAGGAATGAGATGTGTTTAGCGTTCGTATGAGGATATTTTGGAAGACGGCGCAGGTGTGGGCTGACTTAAATTACTCGCTTTTGTGTTTTTCTAAAAGGTCACATGTAGGCTCTGGTTTTAGGGAAGGCAGAGAGAATAAGATTTCCTGACATGAGTTAAAATGCCCCTGTGCCCAGCCTCAGATGGAGGAGATAATACAAACCTGATAAGGCATTTCGCTGAGGCACCCTGAAAAATGATGTGCCCATCAGCATGCGTGCCATCAATCAAAAATGATTTAATAATTTTTGCATTCAATTAAACAAATGACTCCACCGTTTGGAGGATTTCCACAAATAAGCAATTAGTAAAATGATCAGTAAAATCTTCCACGCTCTCTCACTCATTTAATGGTAAATTATTGAGCAGGGCTTTAACTTGTAGGAATATGTAATAGCCTGGGAAACAGTAGTGCAGTTAAACATGGAGTCCAAGAATTTCACAGTTTAATTTTCTAAAGTAGTAGAAAATACTAACAGAATTACTCAAGGGTTTTTTAAAAAATCGTTTTGGAACAAAGACTACATTTAGGAAACACATCAGAACAGCCCTAACATCTGAAGACATGTGAACTGAGTATATGGTTTCTCGAATTATTTTCTATATAAAATAACAGTGACCTTTAAAAAAACACCTCTGCTTAATTAAACACATAAAATTGGCTATATTAATGTATTTTTGTCTTATGTAACTAGAATTCCTTACAAACTAACAGCTATGTTGGCTATATTCCCCAAGTATCAGTAATTTGAATTCCCTGCATATAATTGACCATTAAGTTGAATCATAAACGCTACTGGAGAAACTCTATATACAATTATGCAGATCAGTAGTAGTTTTTAAGTCACTAATAACTAGACATATAAATTTTCTGGGTTGAAAGAGAGACTGTAAATCTATCTTGTGTAATTTTCTAGCCATCTATTAAAATGAGATAAATTATAGCATATAAACATCTTTGGGATCGGTTTTATTATAAGGAAATAATTTTCTTTGCTGTCAGAGAGGCCCAGGAGGGCAAACTTTTATTATATATTTGAGAACTGTTAAATTTGAGGATTAAACACATAATTTCAAACCATTTCTTAGAAAAGTTCTCGGACTATTAATAGAATTTACTTCTGAGATGTGCATTTAAAAATACAATATAGGTGACATTAATATTGAATTTTCATGACTAAGAATCTGTACATGGGACAGGAAATATATGCAAATAAAAACTAAAGAGTGAGGTCCAGGTGAAGGAGGACATTCAAAGTTATGGTTGGTAGAAAAATAATCTCTGTACTAACAATTTGTGCATTTTCTCTCTTAAGGTCTGCCCTTCACAATGACGAAATTGCTCATGGATCCTTTCACCATCCTCACACAATTGCAGCTGTGTGTATATGTGAGTGTGTGTGTGTGTGTGTGTGTGTGTGTGTGTGTGTGTGTTACAATCTCCATTTGCCTTTGCAGGGCAAATAGATAAAGGAAGAATGAAAATCTTGAGCTACTCTGACACACATAAGGACTTATAGTTTATTAATCGAGAATTTAGCTTATCCCCTCTGCTATTCATCTGAAATTAATTAAGTGTGTAGAATTACAAGGTGGGTGTATCCGAGACAGCAGGCCCTGCTCGGACTAATCAAAAGGGCACGTGTTGAATGAGCACAATTTAGTTAAGGTTAATCCAGTGAAGATGATACCTCCCTGTTCTTAATTAGTCTAGGTGATAGATTGTGGAATGGGAAAGTAGGAAGGAAAGGAAATTCGGTCCTACTGAATACCAGGATTTTCTAATTTAATTTAGGTCTCTGTTTTCACAGACGCAAACAGTTTCCAGGCAGAGAGTAGAACCACGCTGTCTAGGTTCTTTTCTAAGGCGGTTAAAAAAAATTGCATGTGTATTTTTAAGAAAAATAAATAGAAAAAAATGAAGCTTTCAAAGGTGTTGGTGATAATGTGCCTTTCATGACCGACATGTCAGTTCAGAATTCTATCACAGCTCAGTGGATTCTTTGTGATTTCTGCTGGGGGCGGGTTACTTTTTTGTACTTTCTTCTGGGTACCAATTCTGATCAATGTGTTGAAGTAAACAGAGACATTTCTGTACCTGTAAGACTGTATTAATGAAATGAGTGTGTATGTATTATTAAAAACAATATAGTTTAAAGTATTAATAAGGACATACACAGCTACTCACCATGAATGAATTGCACAATTTAAATAATGTTGAACAAAAGAAGCAGGCGTAGGAATACATACTTTATGATTCCATTCCTGTAAAGCTCAAAAACAATCAGCACGAATCCCTAGTGTTACACGTCACAATATGATTACCCTCGGAGGAAAAGTCTGCAACTGGAACAGAATAAGAGGGGCTCCTGGGGACGCCGATAACGTTCTGTTTCTCAGGCTGGGTGCTAGCTCCGCAGGTGTGTCCACTCTATGAAAATTCATTGATCTAATGAATTTGTGAACTTACAATTTGTGCATTTTTCTGTATATATGCTTTATGTCGATGAAACATTTACTTTACAGAATGAAGGTGAGTAAGAGAAAAAATCACTACGGAGTAAGGGAATGGGATCTTGGGGCAAGACATTTTTAAAAGACAGGGCTGAGGGCTGAGGATATAATTCCAAAAGAGAAAAAAAAATGCATTAAAATGTATAGCAAAGTATTGTTAACACGGTCTTTATGTGTCCACTTTGCCATCTTATTACCTGCACACCCACAAACACTTAAGACTACTCCAGATTTCACCAAATATCTGAATCTTTTTTGGTTTTGCACATGTTAAAGTCCAACTCTGATTAAGGTGTTTAAAAATCTTATTCTTTGTTGCTATTTAAGGTGCAGCCACCCCCCCCCAAAAAAAGCTCATTTTCTCCTTGCTATTGCAATAGGAAATCATCAGATGATTTCCTTGTTTTCAGTTTTGTGATATATTTTCTGTTCAAGAGGGGGTATCTGTTTCTGATTTATTAACATTTGATCCCCTGGTTTCCTGCCATTGATCAAGCCTAATACTTGGCTCAGCTGATGAGTTTTATATGAAAACTGATATTTCAGGAAGACGGAAGGTTGAACCCATTTTTAATATTTTCCCCCTTCATCTCTTTCAGAGTTTGACGTACACAGGAGACACCTAGCAAAGCCCGAAACTATATTCTTTCTCGCCACGTCACCCTGGTATAAAACTTTTTGGAAGTCAAGCACGTATTTATCAATAGAAGAGATGTTTGTCCAGTGTCACTCACATCCTGTCAACTGTATATACATTTACACCCTCTCGCCAAAACATGCCTTCACCCCGCTGCTGACCGGCTGTCCGCCGTTCAATCTCCAGTGAAGTCACGGTGAGTAAGGTCAACTCCTTGGAAACATCTGTATTTGATCAGTTTGCACAAAACAGGGGCCTTCCGTAGGCTGGACTTCCCTGAAGCCCGCTGCGACAATAGCTGATTCACCGCCGCTGCCAGGGCCTCCCTCAGGAAACCTTTTTCCCCTCTGAGACTATACAATCATTGCCCAGACTCAGCTCTCCTTTAATGAGCTCGGGGTATTTGCAGTGCCACACTTTCCAAGCTGGCAGCACATTGAGAGAGAATTTCCCTTAGTCAACTGGAAGAGATTGTTCTAGTTATTGCTACAGGTGGGACGCTTTGTGCTTCTTTATCTATTTTGGTTCTGGGAACGAGTAACAGATGGAATCAGATCAGAAACTCAGCAACATGTTGACAGTATTTTGACCATTGTAGACCCTGATGGGGTCAGTTCTGTGCTCCCAGGTGCACATCCGTGGAGGATTAGCACTAGCCTCTGTGTCTCTCTGTGTTTTCTTTTCTCTTCCTTTCTTTTCTTCCTCTTTTTTTTCCAATCATATTTTCAGCATTGCATCATCAACATGTTTTTTCACAGAGAATCTAAAGGACAACTCTAGAGCCTCTTTTCCTTTAAAACAAAAAATAACTTCTAGGATAGTCTGCTAGCCCCAGGTGGCATTTTGATAGGCGGAATATGCGTTTTATCCTCCTCCCTGGCACGACAATTTAAATGCGAAAGAAAATTGATGAAAAGTCTGGTGTAAACTTGTAAATTAAACATCAACCTGAAGATAGCATGAAAGAAGTTTCATTAAAATTCGGGCATCACTAAACTGGCCGAACATTTAGAAAATTCCCCAAGTGTTTACAAAATTGTTGGCTACATTTCAAAAATTTACAAGTCGGACTCGCCTTCATTGACAAGGAGGGTGGAGCAAGAAGTTGCAAACACTAGTTAATCAGTTAGTTACCTTTCCATAGACGGGCTTCTGTGTGTAATAGGTATCAAGTGGGAGGCAAGAGACCCACAAGACAGTCCAATTCTTCAGGAACTGCCAGAGCAGACAAGGCAAAAATACATGAAAATGTTAATAACAGGCAAAAGCAAGAAGTCTCAGGTCGTCAGTACGTGGTGAGTCACTAATGTGCAGATCATCCATCCTTTGCTCATGTGAAAAGCACATCGAAATGGCTGACGCGTCTGTCTGTGGTCCCATCTCCCATCTCGGTGTTGTTGCTTCCCCATCATCCCATCATCAGCGGTGCTGGGGTCAGACAAACTTACATTATTATAAGCCCAGCGCTCTGGGACTGCAAATTCCTGAACCTCTCTGTGCCTTAGGTTCCTCACCTGTGAATGATTGTGTCACCTCACAGGGCAGGTTGGTAAATGAGACAATGTCTGCAATGTGATTAAAGCGATGCCCGGTGCAGCAGCATGCTCAACACAGTCAGCTATGACTGGTGTTCAGATTCCTGGCATTCCCATCCGCCCACATCAGCAGCCATGTTGTGTTTGATATCTACTGATTCAGTTTGGATAAAAAGGAGTTGTCTTGAAATACATCAGTAACCTGCTTTTTTAAATAAATACTCACTCACTGCTTAAGGTCTACTCGCTCGCCCAAGCGACCCAATTCAATAAGGATGGGAATTTTGGGTGATTCACGTCACCATGTTTTCCCCTAAGTGCAAAATTACACACTGTTCAAATAAAGGAACAGCTTTATTTTCCACCACAAAAGGGTGAACTTTTAAAGGTCTTGTAAGGGGTGTAGAAATCCTTCTTGGGCACCAAGACCAATGTTGTCCCAAATGTCAATATTCTGGGAAACCTGACCTTGTTGCATAGTTTTAACTGGCTTTATGCAGGTGACTCAAATGCTTTTTTTACCTCAGCCCAGTCTCCTAGGTCAGCGATTTTTTTTACTCATCTCTGCTTCTGAATTGCCTGATGGCCAAGGGACCCGCCCCTTCCTTCTTTCTCCGGTGATCTCCCTTCTCCCTGCTCAGGCAGCGCCTCATCCAGGGCTCCCTATTCCGTCTTCTGGGTCTGCATCTAGCCCTTTAAGACACTGTGCATTGCCCTATCCATTGGCTCAGTGGATAGAGCGTCGGCCTGCAGACTGAAAGGTCCCAGGTTCAATTCCGGTCAAGGGCACATGCCTGGGTTGTGGGCTCAATCCCTAGTAGGGGACGTGCAGGAGGCAGCCGATCAATGACTCTCTCTCATCATTGATGTTTCTATCTCTCTCTCCCTCTCCCTTCCTCTCTAAAATCAATAAAAGAATATTTTTTAAAAAAGAAAATTCTTTAAAAAAAAAAAGACACTGCATCTCCTGCACTGTTATGAGCGTTGGCCCTCCTGCGAGCTTTTCTTTCAAAATCGAACTTTTCCCAAGTTTCTCTCTTTGCTTTGCTCCACAAATCACTATACCCTTGACATTTGCTCTGTCTCCCTTCTCTGTCTTCCCTTCTGCATAATAGTTCTCTGTTCTTAAGAGAAGGGGCGGGGGCTACAAGGTGTGAGGAAGGAGAGGTTGGAGCCATGACTCCTAGTCTCCCTAATGTGTCATGTCTTCTTCCTTCTAATGACCCAGTAAGACAGTTCTGGAGCCTGTCATAACCTTCTTCTTCATAATTATTGTAAGATACCTGCTTAACCCTGCCTACCTGCCTGCAAGTACCATCGAAAAGCACAGTTTGTTCCTGGTGAGTGTCCGCCCTGTTCCTTCTCTGGTCCTTCACTTTTGTGTCCTTGGGGATGTTTCTCGACAGGAACTGTGCCTAATTCAGTTCTTCACAGAACCAGGCATGTTGCTGTCATTGGATTAAAAGTCCCACTCAATTCTGATAAATTTAATTAATTTAAAATATAAAGATGATTTGGGGTTTCTCTGAGAAGTGAAAGAAAAAAGAAAAAGGATGCCATATCCCTGCCCCCGTGATGGAAAATGAACACAGAGGAAAGAAATAGCGCTGAAAGATGTGTGATTGAGGGAGGTGCTGGGGTGACCAGCCTTGGACGTGGGAACTCCCTTGGAAGAAGTCAAGGCTTGTTTAATGTCTGAGAGGCTTTGGCTGATGGAAAAAGGTGTTTACAATGAGTCCTACTTAGTTTAGTGTCCAATTTTCTAATTTTCAAGCAATTGATATTTTGAGAATATTCACACACTACTGAATAATAACTCAAAAACATCAACTTAACTAATTAAATTCCCCTAATAAGTGAACATTTTTGCACACTTAAGTAATTGAAGTCTTCACAGATCTAGTATATCGGATTCTCCTAATTGCTGTAAACACTTTCAAAATATCAACAGTGACTTGATAATACAAAACTCATCAGTTTACTTACACTAAAACCTGTTAAAAAGGATCACACTCTATACATAAATGCGATTCTCCTTTTTCTTTGTTATTACTCTAATTTTTAACTTTTTTTGTTCATCATTTATTTGTTTATTTATGTTTAAAAACATAGAAATAAGTGATTTTTTTTATTTTTTAATTACAGTTGACATACAATGTTATATTAGTTTCGGGTGTACATCCCAGTAATTAGACATTATATATCTATACTAAGTGATCGTCCTGATAAATCTCGTACCCATCTGACAACATACATAGTTATTAGAATATTATTGACTATATTCCCTTTGCTGTACTTACATCCCCATGACTATTCTGTAGCAACCAGTTTGTACTTCTTAATCCCTTCACATTTTTTTAGCCATCCCCCCAACTCCCCTCCCATCTGTCTGGTATTTTTGTTTTGGTAAAGTCACGATGGTCTTGGAATAACTGAAAACTGGGCATGGAGACTCGGCATTTGCACAACCTCGCTGGCTGGTAACAGAATACAGGGGATGGCCCCACTTTGGTGCCAGCTGGCTGGGCTTTTTTCTTTTTTAAAAATCCTCACCCAAGGATCCTCCATTGATCTTTAGAGAGAGAGTGGAAGAGAGGCAGGAGGGGGAGAGAGAAATATCTACATGTCTACACAGCCCAGCCTCACCTTCAATTCGAGGAGCAGATACCTGCAGATGAGCAGCCACATGAAAGTAGCTCCAGGCTGGACAGTGAGGTTGGCTAGAAGGCTGTCAAGTGATGAAGCAGCTCATCCCTAAAGGTGGGATTCTGGGCCCTGGGACTAACTGGATTAAGGTGAGTCCAGGGAAAAAGGATTAGAACCCTAGCCCAGGAGGATGAATCATTGCTTCTTGTAGGAGATGAACACATAGTTCTCTTTCCTGTTCTCCCATGAGCACCTCTGTTCTTCTGTCTCTCCTGTTCTTTACTTGGCTCCTTCGTCTCCCACTCCCTCTGCTTTCAACACCATTTCTTCTTCATCCACTTTTCTCTCCTTTTCTAGGGTTTGGGCCTGGAATCCAGGGGCACAAGTTGGCCCTGCTGGACACCCCAGAGAGCAGGAGGTGCTACTGAACTCAGATCCTAAAATACAGAAGACAACAGAAGGGGATGGGAAGAAAGGGGAGGCAGAGTCAGCATCAGCAAAGTGCCTTCAGTTTTAGAAAATAAGAAGCATGTGAATCTCATCTTGTGTATACATTCTTTAATTCGATTAGGATGCTGCTGCAATCCCAATCATAGTGATGAATATATCTGAATATTTAGTGTCATACCACCACATATTGAGTTGTCGACAGTGCTTGTCTAAAAGGCTCTTAAAACTACAAAGTAATGCATCTCTGATGGTGGAATCCCAGGCACTGAAACAGACTGGTATGAGAGATATTGGGGTGGAAGAGCTATCCCAGCCCCTCTCCAGTTACACCAAGTAGGCAGCCATCTTGTCCAATTATGTAAAAGGCTGCTGGCATCCATTTTCATCTGAATGCATTCATTTGTAAACTAAAATGACTTCTGGTGAATTATCTTCTCCAACTAGAGCTACAGAGCCTTAAGGTTTATATTATTAATCCATTTCTTAAAATCAAGCATTTCTCTAGCAAAAGATTACCTCTTAAGCCCCCCCGCAGGTCCCAGCCAGAAAATGAGTTGTCTGGGTGACTTGGTTCCATGAGCAGAATCGTAGAGCAGCTTTCATTCATTCATTATTCACTCATGCAACAAATAAGGAATGGGGAATTGGGTGTTTCCAGGGGTCTAGGGGAGGGGTGTCAGCGGCTTCAGTTAGGCCTGAGACTCCTAACTGGCAGGATAAACTCTGGAACCACAACCAGAGCCTCTCTGCCTGAAAGCAAAGACTTAACCCCAGAAAGGGAAAGGCTGAGAGGGAAAAAGGGAGTCTGTGGGCTCCACAGTGTCAGCTTATCACTCAGAATGGTATCTCCAGCAACATCTCCCCTCCCTGGCTCTGCCTTCTAGAATTTGGCAGAAAAGAGCCTTCGGAAGATTTCCGCGTGAACAGGACTCATTTCTCTCTGGAGCAATCGTGGGAGCCATCTGCTCTGAGGTCTGCATGGCAGGGAGTCAGACAAGCCCGCTCAGGCTCTCCCGCCAGCTCCACTCTGATGCTGGCTTACTGTTCTGGTATGAGCACCCCAGGCCCTGAAGTACAAACTGGGATAAATAGCAGGTTGTCTTGCGGATCTGCCGCTCCCCAGCAGGGCAGTGATGAGAATGCAGCATCTGTAAAGAGTACCAGGTATGTGGGATCAGAAGACTGGGATCCAAATGCTGCCACTTCTTAGTTGCACAGGCCACTTAACCTGTTTGAGAGGTCGGTATTAGGAGGGTGAATTTGTTCATGTTTTTCGGATCTAGAGCACAGTAGCATAGGTCATTATGACCCAATTTTATCAGATCTTTGTGAGTGGCAGCTAGCTGGAGATTTGGCAGGAGGTTTGAGGAAGAGAAATGGAGGGAGGGGAAGGAGAGAGCTCCAAAGCAGAATGCAGTCTAAGGCAGACAGGCCTGGAGCGGGCTGGGCACTTGCAAGGCACAAGAAGGTCATTGGGAAATAGGGGAGGGGCTTGAGGGAAGAATTGGGGTGGGGACAGGAATAGCAAGAAAGTTGCCCACATCAAAGCCAATGGGTGGCTTGCTCGAGACTCAGGCTCAGCTTCTGTGGCTGACACACAGCTTGTGGAAGGTCGTTGAGACAGCTCAGCAAAGGGACAGGGGAGTTGTGGGACTCTCCAGCTTCCAGTCTAGGGTACGTTTTGGGGAAAAGCTTGGTGTTTCCCTGCTGCTGTTGTCGAGACTGGGGTGAGGGTCTGCCCTGTGCCTTGCCAGGGACTGGGGAATGCTAGGCCCTGCTCTGGGGTCCATGTTGGGCAGTAGGTGCTCGGCCTAAGACTTTGGGACACGTGCTTTGCCCACCTACAGACCAGGTTGAGGGGGTGCCACAGGACCCCCCATATTTATTTCACAACTGATTAATTTAAAAACCACTTCTAATAGAAACAGGCTTTCAATTCTAAAATCGTGGGCATCCAGCTTAGCTGGACTTCTGCAGCATTCAAGGTTCTACCCAGGGAAACACACCTGGCTGCATGGGGAGGACTAAGGAAAATCTTTGGACGGCTGCTTTCGGCGGGAGAACTCCGCAGGCCCCCGCCAGGCTAATGCAGCCTTGAGGTTTGAAGGGCAAATCCCCCCAAACTGGAGCACCGCCACGACCGCTCTCACTGCCGGCTCCCGGGGCCATGGGCTCTTACCACATTGTAAACTATACATTTGCAAATCTCACAGCTAATCCACAGGACAGCCTGCCTGCAATCTAATATGGGTCTGAGAGCCCGGAGGCACCCTCGTGGCACAGGCAGACCCTGTCTTAAGCCGCACACTGAAACGTACAACTGGTTAGCCAGACGGCAAAATATGTAACCTGAAGTCCCCGTGCCATGAGAACCACGTCTCTGGAATTTCCTGGCTTCGGGAAGGCTGGCGTTCAGTTTCTAACCTTTGCTTTATGCTGGTCGAGCTCTTGCATTTTACTCCTGGGGTTGTTTCTGTATTGGGTGGGGAGGTGAGGGGGCAGGGAGGAAGGAATGAAAGATCTAATAGAAAAGCGAGGAGCCCGAGGCTGCCAAGTGGTGCACGGAGCCACATCTGGGCCTGGCGCAGCGGGCCCAGGGAGGAGCGATGCAGACAGAGGCCTGGAAACGCTCCTGCTGCCTCCTCCCCGCGAGCATCGCTACAGGTTTCCCACAGCCCGTCATTGTGGCGAAATGAGAACAGCTGTTAGATCAGGGCAAGAACGTTGGACTTGGGGTAGAACACCTCACTCCCAGCCCTGCTTTTACCCTTCTACTGAGGGACCATCGGCAAATCTCTCCACTTGTCCGAGTTTCAGCCTCCTCTATCAGTGGGGCTCCTCTGACCTCCCGGAGAATTGTGAGGCCGGGGTTAAGTACACGGGGGGTGGGGGCATCCAGAAACCCATTGATGGAGCCCTTTGGAAGATCTGAGTTCAGAAAGTGGCCTCTGCTGCTCAGCACAGGAACAAATAAAATACCCAGTGAGCAGCCCTGTGCCGGGCAGCCTTGCCTGGCCGTGAGGTGACACCGAGGGGAATAAGGAAGGCCGCCACAAACACACCATGGAGGACCGAGGACAAGCCACCACCTCCCTCAAAAGATGAGTAACAGGACGAGGCATCTCTCACTGAGAATCAGTAAACGTTGGAAGGCATTTGAGGAGAGAAGAATGAGCATTCAGTGACGGATGATAGATTCTTTCAGGGGAGAGAGGCCTTTCGAACGCTTTATTCTGTTTGCTGTGGCATCCTGGGAATATTTCTTGCCCCTAAAAAGTCTAGTCAAATGTGTCCAAGTTTGAACAGTCCCAGGATCCATAATCTAACTCTGCCTACACAACTTGAGGAAACATTTCCAGATTAAATTGGTTCAGGGAACCCCCTGTCTCTCGTGGGACAGTTTTGTCTGTCAATGCGGAGGGGCAATTCCTGCCTGGGGAGGCGTAGTCTCTAAGATGTTATTGTTCTGGATGTGCTTCGTTTTTTAAAAAATTATCGAGCGTCATCATGTGATTCGGTTTCTTGGCCTCGGCCTGGAGAAGCCTGAGATCGCCTCTGAGGGAGTTGCTTGTTGACAGCTGAGGCCTTCAGACTGGGACAGGCCACACGTCTGTCTCCCCTGCAGCCCCGGGCTTCAGGCTGAAGCCGCCAGGGAGGATTTCAGTTACGACTTAAAGAGAACAATGACATCTTAAACATGTCGGAGCCTTACTGTTGTTGCCTGAAGGACTCCTCCAGGCCTGTCCCTGTGTGGATATTATGCGACCAGGACCCATCCTGTAGTTACCTCCAGTCTGAGCGATTTCTGTAGATCACACGAAGGCTGGAGGTTTAGATGAAGCCGTATTCACAGTGAGGGAGCAGGGTGCCTACAAGCTGGGAGTGGCATGTCTGTGGAGAGCTAGGTCATCAAATATTATAGCAACACCAGAGATAAAGAGACAGACTGATGGAGGCAAACGACTGTGAGAAAACACAGCAACGTATTTACAGTGGTTGTCTTTATGAAGTGGTATGATGGGTGGGTCTGTTTTGTCTTCATACTTTTTGCAGTAAAAATGGATAATTAGAAAAAAATGGATAATTGGAAATTGGTCCTGCAATGCATCACTGAAAGTATACCCAGCGAAGAAACACACAGCCCTTCTTTCTCAAGTAGAGCCTTCACCAGAGTCTGCCGTAGGGTGGGAATCAGGTGACTCTCCGTTGCCATTCAACCTGCGCCCCAGCTACACTATAGACCGCGGAGGATCCACTGGAGAGCAGCAGGTCCTTTGGTCATGGCTTTGGGGTTGCCCCACATCCTACCCCTCCCTCTGTCATGAGGAAACAAGAGTCATCACTGTGAATTCTCTTTAAGCTTTTTTCTCCTCATGCCTGTGTCCTATGGTCTCCCTTGGCCTCTGATAAATGTTATCAGCCTTTCTTTCATTTCTGTTTCCTTCCATTCCAAGTGGGTTGGGCCTTTAGCTCCTAGAGGTAGAGCATCTACAGGACGATCTAAGCATCATTTTGCAGAGAGCTCTACTTATTTCTGTTGCATTACCAAATGCCCTTGTCACCGTGTGTGCCAGGTCCCAAGGCGGGGATGGATGGAAACAGTGTATGGAGGATAGAAAACCCCATCCCATCACTTCCCCATAATGAGTGTGAATCACCTGGCATATCCTCCATGCTCATTACATGGTAATTACTAGGAGTATAAGAAGCCAAAGCTCACTGAGGGCCAGGATAGTCCTATAAGAGATGGGACTTGACCTAGGCAGTGAAGAATGGCACAGAGGAGAGATGTAGAAAGTAAGTGGGGGGGCCAGCCAGTGTTGCTCAGTGGTTGAGCATCAGCCTATGAACCAGGAAGTCACAGTTTGATTCCCAGTCAGGGCACATGCCCAGGTTGTGAGCTCAATCCCCAGTGTGGAGTGTGCAGGAGGCAGCCGATCAATAATACTCTCTCATCATTGATGTTTCTATCTCTCTCTTCCTCTCCCTTCCTCTCTGATATAAAAAAAATATACAGTGGGGCCTTGACTTAGGAGTGTCCCAACTAACGAGTTTTTTGAGGTATCATGAGCAAGGGTGGGAAAACAGGAATGAACATGCTCATTTTGGTGGATGGTGAGGAGACTAATGAGTATGGGGGAGAAGTGGGGCCAAATGGTGGGGCAGAGGGGCTAGAAAGTTGAGATGAGGAGCCTGGACTTGAGGCAGCACAGATGGGACCTGTGGGAGGTTCTGGAATTCATGCAGGTCTTGTATTCTACCATTGTGTTCCTTTATCATTGCGCAGCAGAAGTACCAACACCCACAAAGCCCTCCTCATTACTCCTACCTCCTCCTCAGAGGGACAGGGCGCCTTTCTAGTCCTGATGCCCTTTGGGGGAGAGCTGCCCCCAGCGGCCAGACCCCCATCAGACTGTAGATTGTGGTCTTACTTCATAGTATTTCTGGGAAGACATGTGAAGGCCAACCAACTAGTTTATCTTTCAAATGAGGCTCATTTCACGAAACTTTGAAAACTTGAGTCAGAGCTGCCACCATAATTACTGCCGTGTAACACAAACCTACAAGTACACTCTGTTACCATCTTCAGAGCATGCCTAATGGATGTGGCCTCCAGGAAGACCGAACGGCACAAAATTATTATTTTCGACCATCAAATTGGCATGTGCGCCAACCTTGGCTAACTGCTCAGCCACAGATAGAGTTTAAAAAAACATGAAGGCGCCTATGATTTACGCTCTAATGTCAGGTGAAGATTATTAACCTAACGGCAATAAATTCTTAGAGGCAAATTGCTTGCATATTCCAAATCAGACATAAGCAGCAGTGTGTGTGTCCAGCAGGCTCTATGGGTGAGTTCCTATTTCTGAGAAATATTTTATGTCCCGGTGTTTTCCAAAACATCAGAGCATGGGGCTTTCAAAGATAGCAATGTCAATTTTGAAGCAGATTCATGGAGGGTGGGGGAGGGGGGAAGGGGAAGGAGCCATATTTCATATTTAATTTTTCTTTGGTTCTCTCTTAACAGTGTGAAAACATCTTGTTGAAAACTGATCATGTAAGCAAATCTTGCAGAAATTTTTGCAATTTCTATTTAGCTTATCCTATAGTACTTTGCACAGGAGTGTGAGGCTGGGCAGAAACTCATACTTGCAGGTATATTTTATTTCTGTTGACTAGAACGACTAGATTATATTTTCAGTGAAGGAAATAAGCACATTTTCTGTTTCCTTTGAGTTTCCCATTAATACCTGGTACAGGGTTCTCCATTACTACGTGCATTGTTCATTAGCGAGTGCTATCAGTTGGGAGAGATATTCTCAGCAGCTCATCACAAAATGCAAAATGAAAAGCGGCTTGCACAACATGGCGCTTTAGCTCATACAGTGAGATGGTGAAAGGCAGGGCAGAGCAGCTTGGTCAGTGCCGAGCCTCAGCCATGACAGTAGGACCCAGGCTCCTCCCATTTCTCTGCTTCATCGTCTTCCACGTGTGGATCTCTTACTCGCCACACTCACACCCAGCGCAGGATTTGCCAATTCTCTCTGCTCTTCTCTTCAGGAGGCAGATCTTTCCCAGAAGCCTCCGGCCAGCTTCCCCTCAGGTCCCATTCGTCAGGATTGGGTCTCACAGGAGCAGCCCATTTTGAACTATAGTGAAGCAGGAAACAGCAGAGGGCTGCCCGTGGAGAGCCACCAGGAGTCTGTCCTGCTCTGGGAGTAAAGGATGTATGTTTCCAATGTGAGGTGAGTGATGACAGTGGGAAAAAACAAGTCTTAGAAGTTGTGTGGTGGGGAAGAGGTTGGGAACCATAGATGTCAAGTACCTAGTCTGAACAAAGTTCCCCAATCCCTCCAGGCCTTGTAAGTAAAGTCACTACAGAAAGCAGTAGACTATCAGTTTGGCCCTGTAGCAAGTTCTGTTTAGCACTTAGTTTTGCAAATTGGCTAAAATAATTGGAAAAGGCTGTGATCATCATGGTCACCTTTGAGATACTGGCTGCTTACATATTGTTCCATTACCTGCCCAACTTCATAAAAGCAGGAAGTAGTTTGCAGCTGATCCTTGCTTGCAAATGAAATGTAGAGTAGCAGGTTATTTATAAAAATACTAAATTAATAATTTGTTGACCTATGATATGAAATAATTGTGTCACATTATAAAAATGCAGAATAGCTAATGATCTGATAAAGCCACCAGCTGAAAGTATTAGCCCTTCTCTTCAGGGGATGCAGTACATAAAATATGTAACATTAACATAAATTATATAATATATAGCATTATAATATATATAACATACATATAGACTATAGAATAAAATAGTAATATTTCCATTTATAACAAATCACTTTCCTTGTATTTTTCCTTTATGTTAGTTACATATATCAGCCTATGTTACTTAGATGAAAGATAAGTCCTATGCAATCATTCTAGGTTGACATGTTTGTCATACAGAAATTATGCCAGAGGAAATGCATTGCCACCAATGTAAAGAGAATAGACATACCCGTGTGAAGAAAGGATATAAGACTTGCTAGGCTCCTGCAGACAGGAGGCTCACCTCCCTGGTATTACCTGGCTTTTCTGGGACATCACTCTCAAAAGCAGAGTTTTCTTAGGCGGCACACACTCACAATAGGCTAAATCCTTAGGAAACCTTGACACCTCTGCGGGGAACTGCACAAAGCTCTTAAGTGTTCACTGCTCTTAAAATATTTGCCAAAAGTCAACACCCGAATTCCAGTTGTCTTGGGCTGCCTTGAGGAGCTGAGGAGGAGACGGCTGTCAGGAAGAACAGATCCTTCTCACCCTCCGGCTCACACACCTCTAGCCTAACTCATGCCTAACACGCCTGGCACACATGAAAACCCCCCGGCTGCCCTCTGCCCTTCCTCCTTCCCGCCTGTAAACTGAACACCCACATGTAGGGACTCAAGTCCAAAGGGGGCAGAATGAAAGAGAAGGTGTGGACACTGTTCTCATCTCCAAGTGCGCATAGAAAATGAAACAAAACAAAAGAACACTCATGAGCTGCATGGTGGTGGGCAAGCTGAACCAAGTGTGAGAGTCCTCTTCCCCTCCCCATATGTGGCCATAGTAAGAGTTTGAAGGTCTTGGGTCTCCGTGGGTTTTCTTCCAGAGGAGACCCTCACACCCCGCCCTTGACCCAAACCAGAACATGCTCAGTGGGAAAAAGAAGTTGCTCACAAAGAGTGGGAGATCCAGAGAAAACCACCGCCACCCTCTGTATTTAGAGCTCCCCAAGGCAACAGGGGAGTAAATATTGTCATAGCGAGGCTGTGATTCCTCCTGAGCACACCCGGGCTAGAGCTGCAGGCAGGCCTTAGTCATGCTGCATGACGACGTGGTGAGATAAACACAGAGGCTCTGTGTTTAACATTTCCTTCCGTGGGGCCGCTGGGGCCTCTTCTGAGGGCACAACACAACTGGCCAGCATTCCTCTTCCCCTATCCCTGCTCTCAGTCGGGGAGAAAGGAGCTGGATACCACTTCCTCTCTTGCCCCTAAATCCCAAGCCCACTGAGGAGTTTAGATGTAGGTGGGGAGTTAATGCACCATGCAAGCTGGGCAGAGCTCCTGGATTGGCTGCAGGACCAACTTCATGAGCAGTACAACCTCAGATGGGCCCCATGCTTAGATGGACCCGCATTTGATTTAATGCTCTACTGTCACGGTCTAAAAATTCTCAACAATTTTGAACAAGGAATTTCATGTTTTTATTTTGCACTGGGCCTTGCAAATTATGCAGCCGGTCTTATTTGCCATATGGTCCTTGAAGGGATTGGGCCTTTCCCTCCCACTGTCTCCAGAAAGAGCTCCCTCATATCCAACTTTCATTTTCATGGAAGCATCAAATCACCCGAGACACACTCCCATGCAGACCCTGTGGGAAGTGGGAAACCGTCCTGACTGCCAGTTGTGGGGATAAAAATGAGACAGACACAGGTTCTGGGTGTGCAACCCTCCCCCTCCCCTGCAGTCTCATTCCATCCCAGGAGCTTCCATGCTACTTCCCTGAGAGGTCTCTCCTCGCCATCAATCAACGAGTACTTACTGCCTCCAGCCATTGACAGCTCTCTGGATGAGAGGTGAGGCAGGAAAGGATGGTACTTTACCCTCATGGAATACAGTGTCCACCCAGGGTGGACATCAGTTGGCTAGCAAAGTTGTGGTAAATACTGAGTGCCAACGAGGACTAGTGGTGATAAAGAGATGGGGAAAGGAAGAGCTCAGTGTGGGGATGAACTCAGAACTTCATGGATGAGGCATGCTCTCAACTTATCTCCATCTCTTTCCATGGACCAACACTTCACTCTAGCCAGCTCTCTCACAAAAGCCTAATAAGGAGGGGTGAGGAGGGTTGGGAGAGGATCTGAATGTCTCCACCCCTAGAAAATGAAACAACTTATACCGTCATCCCTGTGGGTGAAGATAGATAAAAGGAAGCTTATTATTATTATAAATAATTAACTCAATAGCATCTCATTCAGAAGAGACAATTAATTCTGATGAGAAGACAATGAGAGCCCAGAAGATGGTTGATACTCTGCAGCTGCCACTGGATCACAGAGGTCTGCTTACCAATAATTAGTTTGATACGTCTTTAAAAAAAAAATATATATATATATATGTATATATATTAATTATGTATATATGTATATTAATTAATTATATATTAATGTATGTATATATATATATTAATTATTGATTTCATAGAGGAAGGGAGAGGGAGACAGCTCCTCCTGCACACCCAACACTGGGGATCAAGCCCAGAACCCGGGCATGTGCCCTGACCAGAAATGGAACCATGGCCTCCTGGTTCACAGGTTGATGCTCAACCACTGAGTCAAGCTTGCGGGGCAATGCTCCTGTCTTTATACCAGCAACACAAATTCTCTGTACCATTCAATCTAAGAGAGAATTAATTTATTTGGATAATGGTAAAAACATGATGCTCTGGAACTTTCTGTATGAATGTGAATCTTCCCTTTATTTTTTCTTTTAACTAATTGCTATCCAACAGCACAAACATTTCTAGAGCAGTCATTATATGCCAGAGGCTGTGCAAAGGTCTTAATACACATGATCCCTTGTAGACCTCACATCTGTGTTAAGTAGATACTATTTATCAAGGACTGAATGTTTGTCTCCCTCACCCTCCTGCCAAATGTACATGTTGAAATCCTAACCTCCAAGGTGATGGTATTTGGAGGTGGGGCCTTGGGGAGGTGATTTACATCATGTGGGTAAAGCCCTCGTGATGGAGACTAGTGTCCTTATAAAAGAGTCCCCAGAGAGTGCTCTCAACCTTCTCTGTCATATGAGGATGTAGTGAAACAATGGCTTTGAACCAGGAAGCAGGCTCTCACTAGACACCAAATCTGCTGGGGACCTGATCTTGGACTTCTTAGCCTCCAGAACTGTGAGATATAAATACTGGTTGCGTAGGCCACCCAGTCTGTGATATTTTTGTTGCAGCAGCCTGCACTAAGACACAACTATTATTTTACATTTATAAACGAGGAAGCTGAGGCATGATTGGTTCACTAGAGAAATGAGAGGCAGTTGGAAGTTCAGGACCAGTCTATGTTCTGGGCCTTTGACCTCTCTGTAAACCTCTTCCTGAGAGTTGGGAGAAGGTGATGTTGTCTTCAGGATCTTGAACCCACCCAGAAAATGTCCATCTCTTCTGATGTCAGTTAAATCAAATATGGGACTTGACGATTCTACCAAATGTTAGGCATTTCTAAGAAGTATCTTAGAAGATGCTAGGAAGCATTTGCAAATTTCCATGAACCGTGTTGCCTGTGGTTGCAGATCAGTCCTTTACTTGTTCCATGTAGAAGGTCCCCTGGTAAGGCTTGCCAGCTCAGGACCTTTCTCCTCTTGGTTATTATAGCCTCTTATTGTCCCAGAGTTTCCTCAACTAGTGTTCTTACCTGATGGGGGGATAAAAACAGCAGTGGAACAGTCAGCGTGACTTCCTCCTCTGGATTCCCTGGGCCAATGTAATGATAGGGCAGACACCACTTACCAGCATTTATCTTAATATACAGGCAGTCCTCACTTTGTATGGTAGTGCAGGACTATAAATATGATCATGACTGCTGAAACCCTGCCAAGTGAGCTTAGTAGTTATGGAGGGAAATTATAATTGTTCTCTGATCTTTAAAAATTTTTTATCAAAACATTAAGAACTCTCTTACTGTCCGTTATAACTTTATTAAAATGGAAAAAATAATGAAGCCAATATTTACTTAATAGATTGTGATTTAAAACATTACGAACATTGAGAATCAACGTATTTTGTTTCTTTGTAAAAAATATCTGTCAAGAGAAGTTTGAATAGTTCTCATCTTCTTCTCATAAAACATATGATACGGAGAAAGCATCTTTTCTACCTTTGATATATTGCCATGTCCTTTTTAAGTTTGGGTCAGCTTCCAACACTTTGTCATTTGCACTTTCAACTCTCAAGTGCCTTACAGGTGAAGATTTTGCTGGCATCACTTCCTCTGGGACCTCTCCATCCTCTTGGTCACAACCAGTCTCCCCATATATGTCACCAAGTTTGCCCTCACTAAGACCTCTATAAGAGTGGCATTGTCACTGTTGCCATGGGCCGCTATTTCTTTTCGAACTCCGTTTATGTTGGGTTTGAATTTTGCCTCCAGCATCGCCATTTTTGTTTCTTTGCTGCCCTTTCATCTTTCTTGGCCAAATCCCTCTTTATGATTCGCACGTGGGTTTATCGCTGGGAGACAAGGAAACAGCTACACGCTTTGCTGTCTGGGGGTGAACTGAGTAACACAGACTTTGAAAAAAGTGACATAGTCCATCACTGATCAGGACGTGCCTCTGTCGTTTACATAGAGATTGGGGATTGGCCAGCTAGCAGAGAGGTTTGTGCTTTACACAACTACTCTGTTAATACACATAGTGACTGAAATTCCAACCATGTAGTTGGGGACTAGTATCATTAAACTAAACTGTGACAACTGAAATTCATGCTTATTTGAACTCTGCAAAGTGAGGATTGCCTGTGCATTATGTCATTTCATTTTCATGGTGGTTTTATGAAGGATGAAGATGATGCTGTTATTGTACCCACTGATAGATGAAGAGGCTTAGGGAGGCCAGTTAACTTACACCCATGGGCACACGGCAAGGCAGTGATGGAGCAGGAATTAGGGGGCCTGCACCCCTCACCACCGCTCCCCAGGGCCTTGATTTGGAAGGAGGTGGGTAGCCATGCCTTCCCCTGGAGGGGCACCTCATCACACTTCGTATGTTTGGGCTACACGGGATCTTTGACCTGGATCTCACTTAAACTGCCCCAATGACACCCACACTGCTGACAGAGGGCTTGGCTTATCACCCAGCGAGGCAGGTAAGATAAGGATTTTGAAATAAGGAGAAATGGAGTCACAGAGAAAGGGAGAGCCTGGTCCATGCTGCACAGCTGGCTGCAGGGCATCTTTGGCAGGGCCACACCATCTGGTGGATACAGCCAGACCCCGAACGGAGGCTGGTCCTGAAACTGGGGTGACTGGGGGCTGAGAAGATGGCCACTCCTCTGCCCCCATCCTACACTGGCCACACTGTTGGGAGACCCCCTCACCCCATCCCAAAAGCAGAAAAGCTAGCTCTTACTCACGTGGCCCAGCCCAGATAGGAAGGATGTTTCTCATTAATGGGATCAGAAAAGGCATCTCTGTAAGAAGAAAGAAAACATGGCATTACTTGCCAGGGTCACTCCCCTAGAAAGCACTCTAGAAAGCATACAAAATCGTTAAATTATCCAAACATTAATTAGATTGTTAACTAAGACCGATGTTAATCCTCAAAGCATATGGGGCAGGCCCTTTGATGGACCTGGCCTAATGGCTCTCGGGGCTGGCTGGCACTGCCTGTCAGAAAGTTGCAGTCTTGGAATGAACAGCTGAAAAGAAAAAGTAGGTGACTGTATAGAGACTCCATCCGCCCCAGCAGAGTCAGACTTGGCAAGGCAGGCTGGGGGCTCCTCTGACCACGCCAGCCACAGTAGAGGCCTTCTCACCTCCCATCGCCCTGCCCCTGGGGTCTGTATCTTCCTTCCTTACTCAAATGTACCCTATGATTTTGACTCACAGATTCATATGTTTGAGTCTGATCCTTTCAAATATGTTGTAAGCACTTTGAAGGAAGGGACCAGCTGTTACATGCTCTATTCTCAATGGTACAGACTTTAAAATTTGAATTAAAAGAAAATATTTTATTTCCATTTTCTTTTCTTTCCATTCCCTTTCCACCCCAGTGAATGTAAAAGGGAATGTGACCTAAAAATCTACCTCAGCTGCCAGTCCATATCCCAGGACAGTATTCCCAGATTGGCCCCGGAATCAAATGCATGGCCTGCTGCAGAGAATTTCTGAATTGCAAATATGGATGAGAAAATCCTATAAGTCAGGCTATGCAGCTGTGACTCAAGTGAGACCAAGGAAAATTAACCTTTCTTTCTGCTTTCCCACTCCCAAAATTTCTTCTTTTATTTCTTAGATCAAAACTCCAGAAATTGTTTGGACCTGTTGGAATAGAACTGGCGAAATAAAAACTTCAAAAACCCTATACTAGCCAATTTGAATCAACTAATTTAAAATTTTATTTCTGGGATGTCTTATTAAGCATCAGACAAGGTGATGGGAGTTTTCTTAAAGAGTAATCCCCAGTCTGTAAATGAGGAAACGGGTGCAGAGAGGCTATGTCATTTCTCCACCAAGTGCAAGAAGGGGGATTTGAATCAGTTCTGATTCACCCCAAGGTCTATCAACTGTTAACCTTATAATTCTCTTTTTAACCTCTTGGCCCGGCATGCATGCAGTCCTCGTGATAGAGAAGCCCTTTTCTCCACCTCCACACTGTAATTCCTACTCCGCCTCAGACTCAATTCAAACTCCCCCTACCCCATTCTGATTCGCCCCCCTCATCTCACTTCCCAGGGTTCCCTCTGCTTAATTCTGCAACAGCACTGAGAACATGGGCTTCTAATGGTTCATAGGCACCCATCTTCACACAGCAGATGACCTTCTCAGAAAATAAATGCCTTTCAATTTGTCCAATTTCGGTGTTCCCTCCACTCCAGGTGTCTCCATCTGAATGACAGGTGTTATTCACTCTCTCAGACTGATTGTCACACGTCAGTGATGCCCAGAAGGCCAGGCCTCCACTGGATTAAACTTCTGGAATCCCCATCCGCGCAGTTGCTCCCAACTCAGAATTCCCACTGGCAGGGCCCTCAGAGGGCCCTCATCCTCACGGCCTCTAATGCACTGGCCCGGCTGTTCTGTAAACCGTTGAAGCATCTTCAGCTCATTCTAAACCGGAAGGACTAGATGTGTATCGGGAGAAACCAAAACACTGTTTGATTAATCGCCACCTTGCGAGCTGGAGAGTGATGGCTGGGTATGAAAGGTGGTTGTTATCTAAATGGAGTGCCGGCCTGTCCCCGGGATCCCGAACAAATGGACTCCCCTCTATTTATAAACAACCCTGAGGGATGAGCAGCTCGGTTTACGTTGGGAAGGGACCATCATTCATTTTTATCCATCATACCTGCTTTTAGTGATATTACACACACACCCTGCTTGGGCCCGAATCTCAACAACCCAAGAGGTTTATGTGCTTTTAACACCAATTTTGAGGGTCTCTGTGTACATTTCATCATGGGGGTGGGGGTAACAGTGGGCCTGGGACGCAGTGTGTGAGCTGCCTTCTTTTTCAGGGCTTCACGCAGGGTTCATGGTGAGGGTGAAACTGGGTAAACTACTGTTGGCCCCAAGGGCATATTTGTGAACTGCAGGTGAGAAGGCATGAGCCACTTAGACAACCAGGGTTCCCCTGGCAAGAAAGGGGGGTGGAGCGAGCCAGGGAAGAAAGATGTGCAAGTAAGTCTAGTGCAGCGCTGGCCCCAAGCAGGCATTGGACACTTAGCATTCACTCACTGGAGAGAAGGAGAGGGAGAGGAGGGCTGAACGGGCACAATTCCCCACTTTGTGAATACAAACTATTTCATGTTAGATAGAATAGCACTTCTACTTTTTCAAGATTTCCTGGGGTATTTGTTCTTATTTTTAAAATAGCCCCATAGGAGGGCAAGGAATCCTATTCTTCTCACTTCATAGGTGAGGAATCCGAAGCCCAGGGCAGTGAGGTGGCTTGCTGAAGGTCAAGTGTTGATGGTCAGGTCAGGGCCCAAGTCCCCATTTTCAGATTCCCAGTTCAGAATCAATTTACTGGATCCTCAGCATGTCCCTGTTGAACACCGGGCTCCACTGATAATGCTGGAGTCTCATCAGGGGGCAGGGGACGGTTTCAGGAAACAGTCAGCGACCAGGTAGAAGTGCTGCCTCTGCAGGAGCCGTAGGCACTGAGAGGGAAAAAGAGAGGCTAAGTCAGGGCGTCCCTGAGGGTGTGGGGCGCATCCTTACAATAGCTCTGCCCCAAGGTAAGGTAACATGAGCCACATGGTCATGTTCCTAGTAGACATACTACAAAAAGTAAGCAGAAACAAGTGAAATTAATTTTAATCATATATTTAACACAATCTTTAAAATATTGTCAATATTTTACAAATTGATATACGTATTTATAAGTGAGACATTGTCAGTTCTTTTGTTTTGCATTAAAGTTTTGAGATGTGTATTTTATTTTCTCTTTTAACAGCTTTATTGAGGAAAAATTATACACACAAAAATTGCACATATTTAATGTTTGCAATTTGATGTTTGGATGTATGCATACGCTTGCAAAACCATCACCACCTGTGTGTATTTTAAATCTCTATTCAAATCCTAAGTCTTCAGCGGAAATATTCTACCCGTATTTAGATTTCTTAAACTATCCAGTTGAAAAGTAGTAGATTCACATGCACAGGCTGTTGCCAACAGACTGAGAAAGTTTTCTAATAACTTACATATTAGTTTTTAAATTTAAATGAACCAAAAATAAATGTATTTAAAACTCAGTTCTTCAGCCATAGACACATTTCAAGTGCTCAGTAGCCACACATGGCTTGTGGCTACCATATTGGGGAGCTTAGCTGTAGAGTAACCATGGCAGTCACAGTTTCAGAAGCTTGGCCTTCTAGAGAATCTGGGGCTCTGGGAAGTGGGCCAGGCTTTCTCTTTCTCATCATGCACTTGCCTGGCATCTTCTTTTTCTTTTAAGTCTTATCAAAACAAGGCCACCAAAAATTAGGTTGATTACCCAAAAAAATGGGAGAAAGAGAGGATCTGGCACCTTCTTTTCACTTGTTATCCCTTTCAGTGTGACTGCTTACAGAAAGGACAAGGCTTCGGTCTGTGACGTATCCATTCGTGCATGGAAGACATCAGGAGGAGGTAGGCATGGATTGGCATTCTACATTCTGTCTCCTCTGATTCATGGAAGCTGGTGAGTGTGATGTCATAGCACACAGTCCCTCGCAGACCCACAGGGGTCCTTCCCCATGGCCGTCGACATACCCCCAACACACACACCACACAATCCCCACACACCACACACATACTCACACACAATACACACAGACCACACTACATTCCACACATCGTAACAGACTTAAAAAGTGTTGTAATAACTTAAGTATTACACCATACACCACACACACACACACACACACACACAATCCAAACACAGACACACACACAGACACAAAATCTGCTCTTCCGAGGTCTGTGACATTGAGTAAGGAGCAGGAGCTGTTCATTCTACATTGTTCACCCTCAAAAATTAATTTTTGAATGGTAGGACTTAAGCACTGAACAAGAAGTTAGGAGGCCATGCAGAATTTGGATTGCCTGCCTCCATACTTGGGTAAGCCAATTCCTTACAACAAATTTCCTATATCTATCTTATTTCCTATATCTATTGTTTTTCTGGAGAACCCTGACCAATATACATAGAAACAGAAATTTTGGCTGGCAAATGGCCATCTGGAATAAAGACTACATTTTCCAGCCTCTCTACAGGTGGCCGTGTGACCAATGGGATGTAAACAGAAGTTCATGTGGTAGATTCTGAAGACCTTCCTTAAAAAGATAATCAGCGTGTGCTCTTTGCTACCTCTTTTCCTTTTCCACCTTCCTGCTGCTTGTCACAGAAACATGATAGAGGGACCTCCATCCCAGACACAGAAGGAAAACTAACCGGTGAAGTGGGGGCCTCCAAAAATGGGGAGAACTCAGAATAATCTGGGTTCCTAAGGGTTTGGTGAAGTAAAACCACTATGTTGTTCTGAGCTTTTGCTTGAGAAAGAAATGAACTTGTTTATCTAATCCACTGCTATTTGGGATGTCTGTTCCCAGTAGCCCTGCCTTATCCTAAATGACATACTCAGCCTTTCCTGTATCCCTTCTATGTCCCTCTATGTATCTGAGAGGAACTGCCACTGAGTCCAGAGTATGCTGAATGCAGGTGTGAAGGTCATGGTTGTAGTTACAGATCCCAAAGGATGGGCTGGCACAAAGTAGGTTTGTCTGCCCATGAAGTTCAAGTGGGGGATTATAGCTTAAATATTACCTTCCTATCTCCCTTGGATAGATAAAATTTTGTTTAAAAACACAATCACCTTCTAAAAATTCAAATAGTCAATTGAATAGATTTTCTTGGTTTTTGATGGAATGTGCGGGCTGTTTCCTAACACGACACTAAAGAGTTGAAGTGAGTTTTCTCTTCTTTAACAGGTGCGTTGGATATTACTAGGTGCAAATATGCCTGTGTGTCTTAGACTACCTCACAGTCACATGGAATTCGTGACTAAGTTTTTTCTTTCCATGAAAATGTTTTTAAGATGTAAAACAAATGTTAGCTAAACTGATGAAACTCTTTGTGTAGCCCTGGCCACAGCTTTACCAAGCAGTGCTGTTCAGAATAACCGCTGTATGAGGACAGTCATTGGCTGCTTTGTCCATGCCCCAACTCAGAACCCCTGTTCCTAAGTGACACGTTGTTCACCCTTCAGCTGACTGTACTCTGGGTGCCCAACATAACAGCAGCCAAGCCACAGGCCGGCCGAACACTAGGCCCTGCTCCCTCCATCCCCAGAGAAGATCGAGGCCAGTTGGGCCAGTTATATTTCACTTAACACAGAGAACAGCCAGTTAGCATTGGGGATGGATGCCAAAAGCTGTATTGAGTTGCCACAGGCAAGGCCGTCATGATGGGCCATATGCAAGGTGAAGTAACAGAAACTATGAGTAAGCAGAGAGGAGACTGGAACAGACAGCAGACAGAACAGGAATTGTTGGGAGAGAGGGCCGGTCTCCAGGGCCGCTGTGGCTCCTTCGAGATTTGCAGCTCCTGACCCGTTTCTAGCTCCAGTGCGCATGTGCCCCTGCAGCAACCTTCTACAAGGTGGGGGCCTTGAGTGTGTGTTGTTTAGCATCTATCCTTTGTCTATTTGCATTTTGTTACCTAGTCCTGATGGGCCAGGCAATCCATAAATGCACACAGCTGGATTGGCAAACACTGGCTCTTCACCTGAGGATTTTTCACTCAAGTGTTCCTACAAATGTCAAGGAGAAGAGAAGGGGCAACTTTCTGGAAGGGCAGATGTAAAACTTGAAGGAGCAAAATCTGATGTCTTGTGCTTGAAGTGGGCTCTCTAGGCTGCATTTGTAATGCTCTGGGCTTCCTCAGAGTTACAGGTTGTCTCTGATGGGAGCCTCGGGAAAGAGTTGAATACAGAGAGGGTTACCTTCCACTGAAGGTAACTTTAAAAGATAAAAACCTTAAGAGGTGAGGACCATACTTTGAATACCTCAGCTTCTCCCAACTCCCTTTGGCTGAAAAAAACAACACACAAAACCTTGTTGGTGGGTGAGAGCTAAACACAGCAAAGCCTCTTTGGACTCCTCCTTGACAACTCCCTGCTGCCAGAGGCTGTCAGGACTGCAAGACCCATAACTGTAGGTCTGTGTGTAGAAACTAGTGTTGGGG